GCAGTTCATGTGAATTACAAACTCTGAAATGAAGAGTGATTCTTAAAAATTGATGCACTTTTTATTGGAATACTGGATTTACCTACATCAAATCATATAACTACTAGTGATACCTTGATGGAGTACTGCCCTGGGTTCATACAGGCTGGGCTTAAACCACAACAAGAATGACTAATGGTTTTGTGGCTACTTCTACTACCGATAAGGAAAAAATCCCCAAATAAAACACATGCTACATGATCCAACATTATCAGCTTGTCATAAAAGACCTATTGAGAACATGATTTAAACTTCAGTTTCTACCTCAGAGAAGCCTGATTCAAATGCGAAGAAAGAAAGAAGCCAGTTATTTATTTAGATGTGGCAAATCCATTAGTCTAGCATGCCATATCCCGTTTAGGTAAACCTCTACTCCATGTATACAGCCCGTTTTCACTGTGACATAGCTTTCAACAGGGAAAGGACATAGTTGTTTGCTCCTGCAAACATATTTTTAAATGTAGACTAAACCAAATAACTAGTTTACATAATTTCATAAATCTTAAAAAACAAAACACCAAACCCACCACATTCAAAACTGTACTACTTGGACAGAAACTACCTGTTTGTAGCAAAAATATAGGCCATATAAACATATTTTCAAACAGGAATACCTTGAGCATCCTAATAACAGCTACTTTCAGAGCACAAAAGCCACTATAAAACCAACCAAGCAGCAATATTAGTTACGGGTTTAGGAACACAGCATAGAAGTCCCAACTTTAGCATTGTAAAACTTCCAGTCTGTCTTTTTTTCTACCAGTTTGGACTGGAAAGGTATAGTGTATGCTCTTAATCTCAGCTGTGCTTACTGACAAATAGTCATGTATTTAGAGGCCAATTAGTTTACCACAACCTTCTCTAATGGTCATTTCAGTGCTGTACATTTGTTATCAAGCCAGCTGTGTGTAATTTCACATTGTACAGACTACTCAATTTCACTAAAGTGGAGCTATCAGTTACTGAAAATAGAACAGGCAGACACAGAGGGAAACTACCTGCCACACTGATGCCTCTTGTGACTGATTTCGACCATACCTATTAACCTTTTGTAAACTCATCATCACATAGCTCACATTTTGCACGTATACTGAACGTCAAAATGTAAGTTTCCTGGCTTTGACAAACAACTCCAGAGCACCCTGTCTATCTTCCTAGTTGGAGACACCACAGACATTTTTACTGCAGTGCAGGTATGATCTTTAGACTATAACACAGGTTAGAAATGTTGTAATTACCAGTAATCAGTGGGATTGCCCCCAGATTCAGACTGCATCAGATTATTGCCCTGCAATTACTTAAAACCAACATAAAATAATGCTGGCATAGAAAAGAAAGGGTCATATACCCTTTATCTCCCACTGCTTATTCTAGTGGCAGTGACAGTTTAAAGTTGGAGATGACCCTGTTGATTTCAGGGGGATTGGCCTAGATGACCTTTGAAGGTCCCTTCCAACCCAAACTGTTCTATGGTTGTATAGTTCTATGATTTTGCGGACCTAAAGCATTCACCAAATGAGTCTTAGTGCATAGAAAACTTCAGCCTCATCTTTCTATGCTACCTTTTGTCCGACTGATGAAAGCATAAAACATTATCCAGAACCTCATTATGTTAGAAACTGTACAAATACAGAAAAAAAGATTGCTTTTCAGCCAAACTGGAAAATGTTTACAGAAAAAGCTTCTGCATTTCATAATACACTTCTGCAGACATTTCTGTGAAGCATAAAAACTGTACCAGCTAAATATTTCCTTCACAGAATACTTGTATTTCTAATATACTTGCTGCAATTGCTATTTTCAATGTGATTGTTTTAAAATCAGTTCTTAAGGAATGATCTAGTTTCTGGAAGAAGGCTGAACCTTCTTGTGCCCAGATCATATCCTGAATTAACATGTTCAGATGCTTAGTTTTATTTCGTCAGTTAAAGGTAAATCAAATTAACCAGTTAACTTCAGAGGTATACTTAGTTATGAATGGCACACATCATGGAAGATAGCACCAATACTAAAGCAGGAAAATGAACAGCTGTATTTACAGCAACAGGAAATAATTAAGGAAACTGAACAAAGGAGTTGTGAGAGAAAATTGAAAGGACTAAAAATAAGCCTATTTTGCTGTGAAATAACTATGAGAGGAAAGGAACTATACAATTTCCCATATGGCTTTGTTTCATTCTGTCCTCAGGGGCACTCTGTCCCTATTGTAAAAACCAGTTTCATAAGAGAAACACACACAAGTAGGTAATTTGTCCCTGTTTTTTAAGACAGTCCTCCCAGCTCTCAATGTGAAGACTCCATCATCTTCTAGTTGTTAGAGAGAAAATATGACTGTCCAGAATGTAGGTCAAATAATAAGTACTGGAGTTAGACATATTTTAAACAGCTCAAAAATTGTGAGATATAGGGTCATATAATTCTTGAGGCTCCTAAGATCTATTGATGTTGTATTTTTGGGTTTTGATATATATTTTCTTGTTCCTGTACACACGCTCTGACTCTGTCAGACATTCCCACAGTTTACTGAATGCACAAGACCATAATGGTTACAAAGCGCTTCAAGCAGCTATGAGTTTATTTTAAAATGCAGAAGAGAGTTACTGCCAGAATCACCTTTTAAAAGTAAATGCAGATGTTAAAGCAGATTCCCAGAACGTGGAGATGGTATTGATGTCTTTTTTCTAAGAGATTTAATATCCACGTTTCCAGAAATTATCCTAATCCCACTGATATATCTGTGGAAGCAATCTGTGTTCTCTGCCCTAAAAGTAACTCAAAATCCACAGTCAGAAGAATAGCGTAAAGGATATCAGTGCCCCTCTACTTGAGAACAACCCGAATGCTAGTATCTGCTCCTGTTTATACACTTAGAAGGGTTTTTGGAAAAACATGTAAACAGTCCTTGAAACAACAGCTGGAATCCAGTAACTCTCCTTCTGTAACTGTGAGTCTGGTGTACACAGAGGTGAGATTTTAAACTCACTAAAGGCTCTGGACATGTTCTCTGAAAGCCTGTTAGGAAGTTTGTTCTTTTAAAACTTCTTTTTATTTCCTAGACACTCTATCTTTGAGCACTTCCCCCCTCCCCCCCAGTCTCTTAAAATTTATTTCTGACAGAGTATCTGCCTCCTTTTTGTACACTCTCCCTCACTGCCCTGTAGGTCTGACATGAAACCCTAAATTAGATACCAACATTTTAACATTAAACTTTCAAAATTAACTCTCTAATGCAATTATGGATAAATTCAATGCCATTAGTTGTTCGATATATCCTGAGTCAAGAAGGTCATAAAACTTTAACTTACAATTATTCTCCATTTAGAATATTATCTGCATGAGTAACAACTGAGTTTCATTAGCAATATTAGTAAATGTGGGCACTGCACAAAAAGGCTAAATGAACTTTAAAGGTCATAAAACTACTCTGGACAGCTGAAATACATTAAATCTCCAGATTACAAACTACGCAATGCACAGTGCAAGGATAAAGATAAAGATTACTGAAAGTCAATTTAAAACACACTTAGAGCATTGTGTTCCAGCATAAAAGTTAGGAAAATTTCAAAGAAATGGATTCATCAGAGCAGTTGCCCACATGACTACTTTTTAATGAACCCTTTCACATGGGACACACTTGACAGGAGAAAAGGCTAGAGCAGAATGTGTTTTAATCATTTTTACTTCCTCACATTGCTCTGTGTGCATTTCAGACTAAGTCAACATGTTTAAAATTCTCAAATTCAGCTTAAACACATACATTTACAGTGGATACTGTAAATGATACTTGCTGCCTTAACAATCACAAGCTCTCTCCTAGTAGACTTAAATAACAAGCAGAAGATAAAGAACAGAAAAGGTTTCCGATTTTTCCCTAAGTATGTGCCTAGCAATTCCTACAGCCTGACTTTGCTGTTCATATCTATACTGACAGCTGGAGGACTTCCTGTCTTTGCATCTGGCCATAAGATGTTCAGGAAGTAAGGTTTATATCTTTACATATTTTCCATGAAGTACTTTGATGACTAATTTCTAGGGCACTGAGTCACATACCCCTTTCACATACTGCTCTCCATCCAAATTATTATTGTACTCCCTACTCAACTCTTCCCATCATTACATGTCTTTTCCTCATTTAAATTGCATTTAGATATTCTACAAATAGTTATTTAAATTTTAGCAAACTTTTTTTTTTAATACAAGCTAGAATCACTGTTTTTAATTACACAGCTACTAAAAATGATGTTTATGTCAATTCTTCCAAGTAAAATATGAAAACAAATCACCAATAATATTCTGGGGTTTTGGGGCAGTGGTGATGGGGTGTTTGTTTGTTAAAGTGGCACCACTGTAAGCCTCATTCACTACCCTCCTCATTGTTTATAGTTTCTTGAGAGTTTCAATATACATTGTGAGTGAAATTGGTGTATAGTAAAATCAGCTTAATTTTATTATCCTAAAATGTTCTTGTACTTCTCAAAATATTAACTGCTTCAAATGTTACTTATCAAATGCCTTAGAAGGATTTAAAATAGCATGGCAGACCACTCTGCCTGAATCAAGCCTCCATTTGAGCTACTGTAGAGGAGAAATTGCTATATAAAACAAAAGCTTTTTTCCAAACTCCAGCTATTGATCAAGTTTAACATATTTATCTTTAGGATGGCTTACTTTCAAACAATTGTCTTGGAGCTCAAAATACCTTAGTCTGACATCCTGACAACAAAAGGTTAGTTTTATTAGTAATCATGAAAGTATATTAATTGTTCTACAGTTTCAAATTTACAGAGAAAAAAGTCTCCCTTTTTGCAGCATTCATTGCTGGACTATGAATCTAAACATCTAATTCCTCCATCTACCACATTCTAAAGAAAACATACCATTGTGTACACATATGTACATCATTGTGCTAGCTAAAGGAAAAAAAACTCTCACATAAAACAAAGTCTGTACAAAGTACTCACCAAACGCCTAGCAACAGTTCTTGAAGAAAGAATTCCTGAATCAATGCTGAATAAAATCCTCCCCTGCTAATTCACATTGAAAGGGTGTGGTGCAAAGCTACAAAGGAAGGATTGCAACCTGATCTTCCTAGAGCAGGCTCTTGCTGGAGGATTAATCAGCTAGCTGTTGTTCTTGCTTTTTGTGTAGCACACGGGTTCACTCTGGGTAGAAGTCAGGGATCTGCAGCAGCAGCAAGGACTCTTCCTGTTTAAAGTTTTCTTATCTGTGCTGTGGTTTAGAGCAGCTGTTTTCTAAACAGTGGTAGTTAAAATGAAAAGCGCTTTTAAAGAATGAGAAACAGTCTCGTCCTTTAAAAGCATAAGGTATGTTATTCATTATACCTTTCATGCTTTGATATGGCTCATGAGGATGCCATACTCATTGCCTATTTAAGAGAAATAGGTTGTGGCTTACTTTTGGGTTTGGGTTTTGTCTGTTTTCAAATAAAGCCACGCTACTCAGTCTAGATCTGGGCTGCATTCATCACAGTATCTGGAGCTGAACTACAAAAGCTATTCTGCCTTCAGCTAGAATATAACATCTACTTATGAATCATGCTAGTATGTGCTAAAACTAAAGTTAATCATTATTGAAGTACCATGGCTGAAGACAGGGAAGAGACTCCAGCAGTAAGACTGAGAGACCTTGTAACTTGTGAATGTAGAGACACGTGACCAGAATCTTAGTCCTGGAAACTAACGATGAAAATTTCCCAGTAAATTAAAACCAGCAGAGACAGAAGTAACAGCTGAAGAACAGTAACTTACACAGTTAGTAGCTCTAACTTAATTGCAGTTATTTCTGATCAAAGACAAAAAGGTGGGTTAAATTACTTTCATTAGAGATCTATAATCATCTGTCCACCACCATCCTGAAATAGACTGGAAGTTTCTCACAGTCAGTTAACAGGTTAACAATCTCTGAAACAAACAGAAGTGCTCCTGGCAGCTTCTTAAATCTCCTGTCTGCTATTCTTGACTGTAAGAATGCATGTAATAATGTTCAGGGCAAAGCCAGTAGTCAGCTGAGTCTGCCCTCTGTTAACCAGGTCAGTATTCAAATGGATTAACCCTCCTGAAATGGACTAGAAGCACTCACAAAGGGGCAGTTTAAAATGCTGGAGGTGGACTTCTACCATACTTACCACTAACTCCCTGCTCAGATAAACCAAGGAGCAACCCAGCCCAGGAGAAGTCAGTTAAAACGAAATGGCTGGTCTGAAATTTGTGCGACATCAACACTCTGAAAAACGTATTTTGGGTGTCCATGTGTTACAAATTAGTATGTATCAGTGCTATCCATAAGTCTCCTTGAGGGTCACAAATAAGAGAGCCCAAAACAGATGTACTAAAATAACATGATAATTTAAAGAAATCTTAGTCTGTACATTTACAATAGAAACAAAACCAACTAGATTTGTTTTAGATACTTCTTCATTTAGATACTTCATTTTGCTTTTATTAGAATAATGTTATTAGAATTATTATGTGGATGAACAGAGATAGTTTCAAACTTAAAGTAATTTACAGATAAACTGCTTTCTTTTTAGTCATACCAGATACTGAATGGTCTGAATTTACCAGTCCATGCAAATATATTCCAAGTCTAGGGACCTGACCTGGTCAAAACTACTGTAGGGAAGATGTAGGAGAATGCAATACCTTATTTTGATTAAAAGCTAGGTTAAGAAATCTTTGGTAAATAATAAAACAGGATAAGAATAAAAAGACCTCCATGTGCAAAAGGGACACATATCCAAGAGAAAATTTCAAAGCAAACAGTATTTCATTTTAAGGTGAATATTTTTGCTTTCTATTCTGTTAATGCCTCTCCAGTTCCCACATGCAGTCATCCTAATTTAGTTTCTAGGAAGGCCTCTGCACTCCTTTGCATTATAGCTATAACACAAAAGGCTGCAGTTGAAACTGGAATCAGAGTTTTAAGATGGAAAAACCACTTATTTGAACCTTTAGTGAGATCAGAGAATTCCATTCAGCTGTGACCTGGCCTAAACAATCACATTAATCTCAGGCTTGCTTTGGAACATGCTGATAGCTTAAGACAGTTGTCAACAGTTAAAGGTCCACAGTGAAAAAAGTCCCTACAATTCTAAAAAAACATTTTTGGATCCTTATAAGAGGGGGCTTTTGTGATAAGCAAGTTGAAATTTTAGCACTAAAACTAGTAATTGATAAGCACTTTTCCAAAATCCTATGGAAGTTTAGAATCCTCTCAAAATGTAAAACTTGAAATCACAAAACTCACCAACCTAGCTTCTTAGGACATCACCAGACTACCCCTAACTGGGGTTATTTTTATTAACCTTTTTTCTGTTCTGAAGAACCCAAAAGTCCTTACTTAGGAATTTCTAACCTTTGAGTATGTGACATTATGTTCTCTCTTCATGTTTATTTATAGCATATGCTACAAGAACGAGTTGCCAATAGAAAGATGATAATTCAGAAGATCATCATTTCACATGACTTCTGAGATCAAGTCTCACAGTCAAACTCTGGCTAATTATGCAATAGTAGGAACTGTACGCATTATTTAATCACTGTGAGAAAAGACCATTTCTAGTTGTCCTTGGTTCTGTCTATAGCAGTCATTTTTCTCCTTAGCAGATGATGCAGGGCTGTGTTTTCAACTTTAGTCTGAGGACAATGCTGGTAACACACCAGTGTTTTAGTTGTTGCTGAGTAACGTTTACTCTGATCAAAGACTTTTCACCACCAGTGAGGAGTGGCACGGGAAGCTGGGAGGAAGCAGAGACAGGACACCTGACCCAAAGCTAGCCATACCACAGCATGTCATGCCCAGTATGTAATCTAGGGGGGGAATTGCCTGGAAGGCCAGATTGCTGCTCGGGTTGGGCTGGGTATTGATCTGCAGGTGGTAAGTAACTGTATTCTCTCCCCTTGTTAATTCCCTTATCATTATTATTATTGGTGGTAGCAGTAGTGATTTGTGTTATACCTTAATTACTGGACTGTTCTTATCTCAACCTGTGGGAATTACATTCTTTTGATTCTCCTCCCCAACCCACCAGAAGTGGGGAAGAAGAAGGGGGAGTGAGTGAGGGGCTGCTGCATTTACAGGAGGGGACAGTCACCTACCTACCACAGACTCCATGTTTGCACTATAAGTAGTCAGTTTTGTAGTTAAGTAAGCATTACATTATCTTAAAATTAGCTGATCTTTTTGAGGCCACTGAAGTGTACGCCTTCTTTTCCAGCTGAGGACATCTGCATGTTCTTTTAGAACCTCAACCAGGTTTTAAAAGAGGAACCTAACTTCCTTTCCTGGTTTTGACTGGGATAATTTTCTTCCTATTACCTGGCACAGTGCTGTGTTTTGCCTTTAGTTTGATGATAAAGTAAGACTTTTGCAAAATGGCTGTATTGCTGTTTTATATCTGTTATATCTGCTATTTTTATTGTAGTGTTTATAGAATTTAATATTTGAAACCCATCTAAAAATACATGAAAGGAAGTGAAAGTGAAGGATCTTCTCCAGTGAAAGGAAAACTAGAACCTAACAGCTGACCCTTGAAAACCTGTCTCTATACACTTCTCCTTTTCCCCATATTGTTCCTCTTTGCTGTTTTTACATAAAAACCATGGCTATCCCATGTCCTCTAAAGACTGAAATGAGATTGTACAGAGAGCGTGACTATTGTTGCTGATTGCAGAATTTTTAGGTAGTACAATGAGGAAACTCTAAAAACACAGGCTTTATTTCTGTCCTCACGTCAAAGCTGGTAGAACCTTAGAGTAAGGCATGTTACTAAGGCAGTGTTGTGGTTTAAGCCCAGCCTGTAACTCAGAACCATGCAGCTGCTTGCTCATTCCCCCCCTTTTGACAGTTTGAGGCACTGACTACTGAATTTCCACTTTCCTCTCTATTGAAGGTCATAATCACATACTCTTAGGACTATAAGGAGCAACACAGAAATGTAATGGTCTGAAGATAAGATATTTGTCATTGAAGACACCCTGAGCTCAGGGAATTACAGACTGATGGAAATGTAGGAACATTTTTAAAGGGGAGTGAATCAAATTTATCATGCTTTGCACCCAGATTTATCACAGATGTCTTGTGCTTTTCTGCTTTGAAAGTCAAATATTTAGCAAGGCTAAATCTACCTTTCTGATTTCATAAACCCAGCTGCCTTATGTTGAGCAACTTGAAATTAAACTTCTGTTTTGCCCAGCAAAAGTACACTGGTTCTATAGTCAGCTGTGCTTGTTCCTGGAGAAAGTTTCTATTCTTCAGTTATCCTTCTATGAAATCCAGGACTAAAAAATAGCTCTCCTTTTATTTTAAAAAGTATTCTTTTCTTTAAAGTGAACACTCTTTATCTTCTTCGATCCCATAGAAATCCAGTACTGGCATACTAGCAGAATATAACATTACTTTGTAGATACCAGACTAAGGGGGACTAAATAAACAGTGTTCTTAGTAATTTGAAAACTGCTTAAAAGAAGCACAGAAAAGTAATGCAATTGTGACTAGGGCTTAAATTTTTGGTCTTTTCCTGGTGTCACTATCAAACTATTGCCTCATTGTCAAGCAAAGAGCTGTGATAAACTCATTTCTTATATACGTATTTCTTCATTTATCAAATTCTTAACAGTAAGCAAATGGGAAACTTGGAGCATACTTAGAAGTTGAAATCCTAAATAATTAGTTGCTATTACTATATTTTTGAAAACTCCAGAGACAAGCTACTTCTGTAGTATGGTTACTGTAATCAGAGTACAGAGCATATTATGTAACATTTTGAATAATGTGGTGATTTCAAGACTCAGTTCCAATCAAAAAACCTTTTGGATAGCTGAGGAGATTATGGGGTCAGGTCAGTAATAGATGCCACTCATTTTTAGAGCCAGGATCTATATGAGGTTTAGACTCATGCTGACTTCAACTGAAACGGAGTAAGGGACTTACATAAAAGCATGGTAACCATTTTGTCACCTTCCCTACACAAGAAAGGTTTCTTAACTCTTTTTGGTATTTCTATTTTATTAATCTGGTAAAAATGGAAAGAACTTTCCATCATACAGCTGCATTTAGATCTGAGATCATATCTGAAGCAAAACATAATAGAAGTTATTAACTGAATTCTGTGGTTACTGTTAAAAAAAGGTGTGAAAGGCTGCTTAGTCTTGTTAAGCAAATTGCCTCACTGGATAAAGCACTTGTTTTAAAACAATTTATTCC